TTTATCGATTATCCTATGATTTCCAGAACGTTCTTGATTAGTCCTTTAGGAAAGTTCTAGTGGTTTTGACATGAGTACGTGACGTCTATTTATAGAAACTCGACTTGTTTACCGTAAATTCTGGAAAATTCTATGATGTAATGTTACTAAAAATAGTCGTGTTGTAAATCTGTAGAATCTTCTAGAAAGATTGTAAGGAACTATATAAGAAGGTGAAGTAGGTTGTTGCGTTTAGACGAAAAAGAGGAAAAAGAGGAAAAAGAAGAGAAAAGGATAAAAGAAATAAAGGAGTTAGTGGAAAAAATTCATTTTAAGGTTTATCACGAAACCATATCCTTTAACTTTTGTTCTATTTCTTTCGAGCATTTGTATCGATGCTGAAAAAACCATTTAGGACGCTTCAACAAAGATCTGTATTTGTATCTGGACCGCGTACATTGCACGATTAAGGCAACAGGTCTGTTCTAAACGAGTTCACCGTTCCGTAAGACAATTAAAGCTATCAGATCCATCTCATTTTTTTGATCTTTTTATTCAGTTTAACTTAAGCAGTGTTATATAACTTTGATCCCCTTTTAAAAGCATTTTCCTGATACTTGACCCTCCATTTCTAAAGTTTGAACAAAGTTTTCAGACTCTCATTATAGTTAATTAAATGCGATTTTTGGCAGTGTCAAGATGTAATCTCCTTGCCTGTTCACTTCTTTTTACCCGTCAAGCCCTGCAATGATTTGAAAAGGAAAAAAGAGTTGTGGAAATTTATTTTCGCATAAACCTGGGAATTCCAGCAGACTCTTTTTCCGAAACATAAGCTCTGTACTTACTAGACGAAAGCAAAGTTCGCAAGTCTTGGGACAGTTTACTCCTGCATGATCGGTGTTGCAGTATGTTGGAGATTTATGGGCTGCACATTCTTTTGCATTGTCCTCGCAAACTTCTGAAGACGAAGAGGAAAAACTGAATTCAGATGATTTGAAATAAAATATCAATGACTTCTTTTCTAATTTCAAAGAGAGACAAATTATTCAGCGCCCAGTGACATAAGTTACTATTCCCTCAGAAAAGAGCATTTAAAGACACTACACGTTACCTGGGGCCGGAGCCTTGGGTGTTGGAGGAACTGTGTAGTCATGAGAGAAAAAGCAAAATATCAGCTTTCATGAAAAAAGATGCTTGTTAATCTATTAGCAACATTTTAAACGTATTCTCTGACTCTTTACCGTCTCATAATCCTAACCAA